GACTTGAAATTCGGCAAGCATGTTTCTTTTTTTTAATGGAGATCCGCTAAGAATGGGTTTTGCAGAAATCTAATAGATAAAAACTCCCGTTTTTGAACTGCTATATCTACATACTTGAAACTTGGCAAAGCATATTTCTTTTGCTGAGTAGAAGTTCGGTAAGTACTCGTCTTGGATAAATCAACTTCCAAGGGTAGAGAGGGGATGTAAAAGACAACAAAAAAATCAATTTCCGGTTTTAAAAATTCCCACATTTCCTGTTCTTTTTAAATCAATACATGAGAATTATAAAATGTTTTTGAAATCTTAATGCTAAGATTTAGATATCAATAACTTTAAAAAATATATACCCATACATTATCAAGAAATACTCAGCTAAGAGGGTGGATAACGGCTAGTACTTTATAATTTGAAAGTAATTTAAGTTAATATTTGCAATATAGAATCTATACTTTTATTAAGCAATATAACATTTATAGTTTTATTAAACAATTTGTAACAATTTTGAAATTTTTTTGCTGGCAAAAAATTTCAACTGTTAATTTTTTAAAAAATTTAGTATAAGAACGCGCATTTAGATGGAATTGAATTGAATTCAGACAGTTCTTACGAACTTTTATTCGAGGTGTTTGACCTCAACTAAAGAAACAGAACTCTGTTATAAAATAAATAATAACGCAGTTTTAAATTGCCGAAGCTGTGACTTAAATGTATCATAAGTCATCCCCAATGCGGTCTTGCGTGAATAGAACCTTGCGTGAGAGTTGGATTAAAAAAAAAAAGGACCATTTTTCTGCATCGATTCTGAATCGAAAAGAATTCCTAGTCAGGATTGTTATTTCCGCAATGAATTTTACATAAACTATTACACATTTACTTCGCCACGCAGCTTAGAGAGATTTGTTGATATCAAAAGCAAACGATTGCAGTTCAAAATGGCACGCATGCTCTTTAATATCAAAATTCGAGTTCAAAATCGCTTCACTTTTCTTCCTTCTTAACTTTCTAGAAATGTCAATTTCATATATGCGCTACAGATTTTGTGGTAATGAACTGCAATTTAGTATTCAAAAGAATTACTTCTGTACACAAACACGGAATAATAAATAGCACCCATTATTTTTTGTCTGTGCGTTATTAGTTTGTTAATATTTTCTTATAATTTATTTAATAATTAGGTGACAATGTGCAAGCCTTAACAATCTAATAACATTTGTTTTTTTGTTTTTCAAAAATAACTGTAAATGTTATTAAGAAGATTTTTTCTCGTGTGTAGTAAAACATTAACAAATACAAATATTCAAAAATTATAAAGAAATTTCATTGCAAGCAAGAGTTGGCAACAGTGAGGTAAGTGAACTGATTGGCTGAAAACACATAATTTCAACTGCCGTGCGATTGTGACGTCACATGAATCGAGCCCATTGTCTGAGCTGAACAGACAATCATATGACTTTTACTTGTTCAAGCGATATCAATCACTGAGTGAATAAAAACTCTAATAACGATTCAAATAGCATCGTAAAAACTACAGTTCAGCAAAAGTTTTAAAAATTGTTCTAAAAATATTAATTAGGAAGTTTTCCAATTCCGAACAAGAATAGTTTTAAAGTAATAGCTCCAAATGTATAAGAGTCACGAAATATTACGAATATAGTAGCTGTATTAAAAACATTTCACTTATTTAACATTTCTTGTGCAGCATTGATAAAAAAGTATATATTTTTAAAGAAGGCGAAATCTTTCTCAGTTAGATGTGATCGTATTTAGTTACTTATAAAAAAATCTACTCTCATAGAAATCTGCATTCAAGAACACGAAAAGGTGCAGCCTCGAACATTTAAGCAAAACTACAGCTAGAATCCAAAAGTTGACAATTTTGTGGTAGCAAATACCAGGATAAAATTTTTAAATAATTAAAATTATATCATACACTGCTGGACAATTGCTAAGGACGGATAACACTATCATCCATAGCAACCACAAAATGAAAGGAAGCAAAATGTGGAAAATTAGAATAAGTGCGGGATATTAGTAAGAAGAAGTATGAGTATGCAAATTTTTTTCCACGTCTGTTCATCACGTGATAGCGTTCATAAGAGCTTTAAAGGTTTAGACGCGTGTGGACAATTGTTGTTTCAAATCAAAGTTTTACAGGAAAGATTTAATAGACGAACTTAAAATTTTTGGCATGTCTTCCCGACATCACATAGATGATTTTATGCGTGGCCGAATTAGTGGAAAGATCGAAGAAGGGCGAAAAATAACAGATGTTGCCAGGGAGTTCGACATCGCTCACAGCGTTGTTTCACGGCTGTGGAAGTCATTTAAAACTACTGGAATGTGTAGTAGACGGCACGGGGGAGGTCGTGTTAGAAGTACGACGCCTGCAGAAGACAGATATATCGTCCTATCAGCAAAAAGGAACAGGCGCACCACAGCTCAGCAGGTGGCAAAATCAGTTTCTTGCTGCCTCAGGAAAGCAGATCTCCCGAAAAACTGTTGCCAGACGTTTGAGGGGGAGGAGGACTATACGCACGCAGACCTGTTGTGTGTGTCCCATTGACCAGACAGCACCGTACTGCCCGTTTGCAATGGTGTCGGGAGCATCACAATTGGTCTGAACAGGACTGGGCATGCGTACTATTCTCAGATGAGAGTAGGTTCAGTCTGTCATCGGATTGTAGACGCCAACTGATCTGGCGCGAAAGAGTGGTACTGCTTATCGTCCAGAAAATATCTAAGAAAAGGACCGATATCCGACATGCAGTATCATGGTGTGGGCCGGCATCATGATCAATGGCCGCACGCGCCTACATGTGGTTGCGAATGGGACTATGACGGGCCAACAATACATTGATGAAGTTCTACTTCCTCATGTTCGTCTTTTCCGTGGTGCTGTCAGTGATAAATTTGTTTTTATGGACGACAACGCAACATGTCATCGAACGCTCGCTGTTCAGGATTGTCTAGACAGCGAGGGTATTCAACGTCTCGTATGGCCAGCGCGTTCTCCAGATCTAAACCCCATTGAAAATGTGTGGGATGCTTTGGGAGGCAAGTTGTTGGTCGCAACTATCCTCCGACAAACAAGAACACCCTCATCCGTGCACTCACAGAGGAATGGGATAAATTGCCTCAACAGCTGCTGGATAATGTTGTGCAAAGTATGGTACGACGTGTGGAATGTTGCATCACACTCCACGATGGACACATCCCGTACTGATACCTTTCTTTAAGGTGCCTGCTGACTTTTAGATGCATTGTTCCATTTCTCCGTACGCAGATCAAATGAACATTTTTTTTCTTCTTTCAGATGTTTCACAGCTTTTGTACTTTCCAGAACAATAAATATTCTTTATTCTAATGTCTGAACAGTGTGGCAACTATATTTTATCCTACTAGGTCTCATGTCTCGCTTAATGTTATGCTACATAGCAATTTGTGATCCGTCCTTAGCAATTGTCCAGCAGTGTAACATCAAACAAAATGTCAGCGAAAGATATTCCCACAAAAGAGGCCAAGAGTTAAAAATCAAAATCCTCACGCTGGCGAGGATGTGAATAGTTGTGGTGCCGATTCACGAATGTCGATCTCATCATTTTAACGAGGCTCAAAATTACCAGACTCGTTGGATGTGGTTAACACACTTTAAATCGAGAAGTAGGAAAGCGTTCAATAAAAAAGAAATTAAAGGCACTTTAATGAGGAACACGTATATTAAATTGGAATATGATGAGAAATTGGCTTTTTTAGAATGAGAATATTTACTATACGGTAAAGAGCAGTGGTGTAATTTCTATTTTTGTCAACAAATAAAATTCAAATTAATCTATTGACCTTAAGCTATTGAGGAAAATAGCATTCAATGAATGGAAGGGGGAGGGGAAGCTTTGCTATGGCAAGAATCGAATGCATTTTTGTTGTTGTTGAACACCGAAAGTAAATTTTTCGTTTTTCACATTCATATGTGCTTGAAAGCTACATTGGAAATTCTGCTTTGCGCAATATATTCCTAGAGTGTTGCATAATATTTAGGTGAAAACAAAAATAAAAACTTATTCTTTAAGGTATCCGACTACTTGCGACAATTTTTTTTTTAAAGAATGGAGATATGGAATTTTTTTTTGTGGTTTTTAGATTTATTCAGCACATTTTAAGAAAAAAAAGATAAAATTAAGAAGGGAAAAAGAAATTATGAAAACTAAAATGGTTAAAAGAAATTATGAGAACTAAAATGGGAAAAAATTGGACAAAATTTACATAAACGGGGCCCACCCTGAACAAAAAGTTTATGGACAAATTCTCAATTTTCAATTTTGATTTGTTACTTGGGTATTCATTTTTGAAGTGACCTTCAGGATAAGAGATATTTTAACTTTTACAACACTAGAGCACTTTATCTTAGTTATTATTTAAAATTGCTTAAAAAATAGTGATTATATTCACATAAGGAACAGTAATTTTTTTTAATAAATCAGTGATTGATACATCTGAAGGTTAAAACACTTCTCTACTACACAGAGCATACACAAAAAATTTCAGTTAACTATTCTTAAAACTTTTTGAGCCATCGCTGCCCCCCGTTTGAGTTTTAAGTTTGACATCTTGTTATACATCTGCTTTACTAAGACACTTATAATTTTTGTTCTAGAGAATGGAAAATAAAAAACTTGGTATTTTTACAAAGCTCATAAATATAAAAAATATTTTATATAAAGTCAATTCCTACTTATATATATATAGGTCAACAAAGAAAATTTTTATATATATTAGTTACTTTTTATTAAATAACTACAATTCACATATAAATATATATATACACATGATGGAATCACAATACTAAGTGGCAAAATAGAAAGCGATTCTCCATTTTCCTTTCTATGTATAGTGTTGGACTATTATATTTTTTGTTACTATTTATTCATTAACTAAATTTAATTACTCGTATTCCAATAAAATAGTATAGTAAAAAGAAGTCACATTCGCAGAAATTATGCCATCCCAGGTGGTATTCGCATCCATGACCTTTGGATTAAAAGTGCAACATGCTATCCATTGCATCACAGGGACACAACGAACGATTTTCCTTTTTCATATATGGTGTTGGATTATTATTTTTGTTTGTTTCTTTTTATTCATTAATTAAGTTTAATTAATAAATTAATATTTGTTAAAACTGTGTTAACATCCAGTGTTATCCACTACAAGTTTAAAAAAATGTATTTGAACTTGAGTGGGTGAATAAAAAGTATTTTATTAACGATTGAAAATTTGAAGATAAATATAGAAATATATATATATATATATATATATATATATATATATATATATATATATATATATATATATATATATATATATATATATATATATATATATAGGGAGAGTGTGTGTGAACTAATAGTAGGAATTGAAAAATTGTTAATTTTTGAAAAAAATCACTATTTTAGGGTAAGTCAGATATCTTAAGTACCAAGTGAGACAAACACTTAATGCATTTTATTTTGAAAATTCAACTAATCTGTCAAAGAGAAACCGAATATTATTAACTGAGACTAAAATATACATATATATAAATGTACATACAAATCATTTTTTAAAAAATTTTATTTCTTTTTCATTTAGAAATTCTAAATGCACATATCACAAATGGGTAATGGTACATAATGTTAATAGTTTACGCATTTGATGATACAAAATACAGAGGAAATGCATTTCCAAAATTGTCTCTTCATACAAACGGGAAGGAAGATGGCTGATTGCATACATTTTCCATTTTGAGCTCCAGCTTTCGCTTGAAGTTGAGTAAGGGGAAGTTTAAATATGTGTTTTTATTTTTTGCAGTCACATTATGAAGAAATGAAATATTAATTTAATTTAGTATTTCATTAAAGTTAAGAAAAAGTATGCAATGTGGATGGAAAGAATGCACTCGATATCTCAATAATTTTCATGTAATATTACATCGGTACATAATAACATATAAATAAAGAAAGACAAATTTCTGTTTCAATTTCCCCATCGAACTTATAGCGGAAAACAAAATATCCAACACCTTCACACACACACATACAAAAAAAAACAAAAAAAAACAGGAAATATCGTTGTACGTAGTTAATACACCTAACTCTTATTTTTACACGGTAAATATGTTCCTTAGAAAACCGTGCAAAAGAAATCTTTAAAAAAAAATACATACGACCAATGGTAAATCTGGGGATGTTCCACAATTTTAAAAATCGTGTAAAATGAAAAATCTCTAAACATTTTCCCAATAAACTGTGCACAAAAAAAAGTAATACTAAAATTCATGTAGCATATCTATAAAACAAACAATTCCTTTTTTTTGCAAAAGAATTAAAATTAGTGCATCAGAAAAAAATTAAATTACAATACATAAAAATTAAATTGAAATTAGGAATAAAACTACTAACAAGTATTCTTTGCTGCTTGATATCAAGTGTGCATGTTTATTACGAACTGAATCAAAAATTCTACAGATCTGTCCGATATGTCTAGTAAAATTATCAGTTTTGATTCAAATGAAGAATTTTCGTTTTTATTAACAGCCTCTGTTGGTTATTATTATTATTATTATTATTGTTACAAAGTCTGTTATTAGTGGTTTTTTTTTTTTTTTTTTTTGCTTTCTAAAGTAGCTTACATAACTCTTGATATCCTGCTACACAAAACTTAGGATTATTTTGAAACTTTAATTCACGCTCTATGTCAGGATTATTAGTGAGAAAATGTTGCTCCATACTTGTAGCATATTCCGGTATAGTGGTTAGTGACGCTGACTACGGTACCTTAAGGCCTGGTTTCGAATCCCGGAGAAGGCATGTATGTTTGCAAATGTACAGTACATTTGCGGCATGGTAGTATTCTAAATAGCCGTCAAGCCGCATGTCCTCTCGTGAGGTATGGGGAAGAGAGGTGGGAGGTCTCTGACCACCCCCAGTGCGTTCTTCCTCAAAATTGGGGTGAAACCGAGTCAAATCGCTCTGTCACCTGTGAGGAGCTACGGCTACGACAAACGTACAACTAGCCCCTGGCTACGATGAATTTCGTCGGACTTGTGTCTGATTACAGACCAGGCGGCGTAAATAACAACAGCATATTTCAAGAACGGAACTTCTCTTAACTTCGACTCTTCGTTATTATCACAACTTCTTTATTATTATCAACTGTCAAAAATTAGAACAAATCGTGCTCAACCAAAGGGCATGAATCCCCAAATTTTTTCGGAATTCGTGCTAGAACAAAAAGTTTGTGTAAAAAAAATCGTTAAATTCGTGTTCCGTGTTATTTTAAAATCGTTGAAAAAAAGAGTTGGGTGCTCGTGGATTCGATGCCCCGCGTTTGATGCCACTAAAGACCCGTCGTGTAGAATGCCAAAGTCCTCGCGTTAGCGTGATGCAGTAGTTTGGAGTCGCCCAAACAGTATAGTTGTTAGCGACGCTGACTGCGGTGCCGCAGGGACTGGGTTCGAATCCCGAAGAAGACATGGATGTTTGCAAATCTATAATGCCGGTATGGGGGTATTCTAAATAGCCGTCGAGTCGCAAGTCCTTTCGTGTGGTTGGTGGTAGGGGAAGAGAGGTGAGAGGCCCCTGGCCACCCCCAGAGTTTTCTCCCTCTAAATTGGGGTGGAACCGAGCAAAATCGTTCTATCACCTGCATGATTGCTCAAAGCTAAGGCTAATGACAGGCATAAAAATTCTAGCCTTTAGCCACATTGAATTTCGCGGGCCTCGATCTGTCTTCGTCAGGCAGGTGGCACATTAGTCACAACAACAACATTAGTTTGGAGAAAGGGTGCTGACTCATGTGTCACCTTCGTCCCTTCACGAAGGTTCAAAGTTACGAGGTCCGTCAGATATAGCCCTAGTGTTGCTGAAGAGTGCGACGTTAATAACTTACTCCATAGCGTTCTTCGTCACGATATATCTAATGCTCTAGCAAGTTGAGTTAATTGATTTCCACTGATTCATAAAGCTTTCATATTTCAATAGAATTTTTGAGTTGAGTAAGAACAAACGGATTAAAAACTCAACACATTTAATGTCCAATCAAAAAACCCAATTAAACTATAGTGCCTCACCGCACGAAGGCTAATGAAAATAGTAGTCTGACACACAATATCAGTTGAGAATATTATAAAGGAAAACTTTAATTAGTAACTGCATATAAATTATTAGTTGGAGAAAAACTTAAGAAGCAGTCGTAGCACATCCACCACACTCTTTTTACAGCTATTAGAACAAAGCGAATTTAAAATTTCTACTTGTAAATCCTTTTTAATGAAATATCAAATTAATTCATAATTTATAAATGAAATATTCAGTGCTTTATTAAAAATATTGAATATATAGTTTTAAATTAATATATAATTTGATTGTTTAGTAAAGCATCTGTGTAAAGACGATGCTCTAACACTTCTGTTTAGTGGCGTAACGTACACCCCGCATCGCCGGGGTGGGCAGGGTTCTAAAGGGGCCCAAAGCCTGACTGACACAAGCGCCTACCCTTTGTAAAATTCAACGTGGGGGCCCAAAACCTGACTTTCCAGGGGGCCCAAATGTTCTCCATTACGACACTGCTTCTGTTGTGGCCGCAGTAGCCTAGTGGTCAAGGTCACGGGCTCGTGGAGGCGTGTCACGAGTTCCAACCTAGTACCGATTAGGGATATCGATATGAGATCAATTAATCGAAAAATCGATTTCTCGAGCCCCCCCAAAAATCGATTTTTTAAATCGATATGTAGCACTGAATCAATTCAGTGAATCGATATTCCATCCTAGAAAATCGATTCGATTTTTTTTCGTTTTGGTTAAAAGCATAAAAAGCGAAGATTTTAAACATTATTTATCTCAGGCAGTTGAGCACCTGAAGTATGATCCTTTACTTTACTGGCAAAAACAAAAAAACTTTATTTATCATCACGTTCACTCAAGAGCCATGATCTATCTATATGAGTAAGATCTACATGAGTATGAGTAATAGCGGGATCATCTATTCCTTGTGAGCGCCTTTTTTAATTGCCGGCAACATCGCAAGTGATGAGCGGAACCACTTGGATCCCAGTACACTTGACGAGACTGTTGTTTTTAAAAAGTTTATATACTAAGCTTTGGGAACTATAAACTATATAATCTATTTTCTAAACTTTTTAATCTAACAAATACATTTCGAAAATAAATGTCTTCTTTTATACCTGATACTTTGATATGGTAATAAAAATAATTGTAATTGTTCAATTCCGTGAACTAAAAAAATCCTGAAAAGAAATCGGTTATTATGGTATTTTTTTTTTGTTTTTCATTAAATGGATTTATATTTACATTGTAAATGCAGACTTGAAAAAATCGATTAATTAGAAATTGATCTTTTAGACCTCGATTTTTTTGTGAATCGATTCATCAGTTTACGATTCGAATCGATTTAAAAATCAATCTTTTTCGGAAGTAATCGCCATTCCTAGTACCGATGCACGTTAAATCTGCCAAAGCTCAAGTAGACCTCGATAGATGCGGCCCGGTTACCACACCTCCAGACCACCAACGGGTCTCGAGAGGCTTGTTTTTGTGGTATAGAAGTGAGGAGGGGAGGATGCCAGAGCTCAGGTGTCTTCCTCGACACTTGACCATGGTTCAAAATTACGGGGTCTATCGGCAATACCCTCATGCAACTTAATAGTGTAACGTAAATATATAGCTCTAACTAACAATCCTGTTTTACTCTCACATGTGCGCGTTCTCACCATATTTAACTGATTTTCTTCGTTAAATCTGAAAGACCGCGGGAGCCGAGTGGTATGGGCATCGGATCGTGGCTGGCTTTGTCACGAGTTCGAGCCTAGTACCACTAAAGACCCGCCGTGTAGGGCAGCGATGCACGCTAAATCTGTCGAGAGCTCAAACGTCCTCCCGTTGGTGTGGTGTGGTAGTTAGGAGAGGGGGTGCCAGCTCAGGTGTCGTCCACGTCACTTGACCATGGTTCAAAATTACGTGGTCCGTCGCCAAAAGCCCTCGTGCAGCTGAACAGTGCGACGTTAATCTTCACTCACT